GTTGAAACAACGTTGTGTCATCAACTTAAATTCAACGTTGTTGGGGTCTACACGTTGAAACAACGCTGTGTTATCAACTTAAATTCAACGCTACAACGTTGTTAGAGTCTGCATGTTGAAACAAAGTTGTTTTATCAACTTAAATTCAACGCTACAACGTTGTTAGTCCAGACGTTGAAACAACGTTTTATTGTCAACTTAAATTCAACGTTGTTAGAGTCCAGACGTTGAAACAACGTTGTGTTATCAACCTAAATTCAACGTTACAACGTTGTTAGAGTCCAGACGTTGAAACAACGTTGTGTTATCAACTTAAATTCAACGTTACAACGTTTAAGCAACATTATGTTCTATGTTGAAACTCAACGCGTTCGGAAAAAGTTCTGTAAATTAAAGCCATACTTTCCAATTAAATATTATTATTATATGATAATATTATATTAAATGATTATAGAGTCTCTCCATTTTGATCTCTATGAATGCTATAAAATATTTACGTTTGTTGAAATGATATAGGAAAACATAAAAAATATATATCCATATGTAAATCATTAATTTTTCAAAAATCGCATTTCAAAATAACATTATGGATGTATATATATGTTATGCGTGGATGTAAGCCATGAATTTAGTTTTCCGGATCATGGTTTTCTTAACGTATATATATTTTTCTTCTCGTTTTTATATTTTTCTTGTCGTAAATATATCTTCCTTATCGCATATATATTTTTTGCAACTTAAATATTATTGTAAGTTAACCTTGCTGTTATTATTATGTTACAACGGAAATATTTTATTCAGTAAAGTTTATTTTCATTATTATTTTATGTATATTTTTCCATCCATGAGTGCATTTATTGTAAAATTTAAGTAAATTGAAACCAAAGGCTTCTAACCGGGAGGCACGTTTATGCGCCCCCAGATTTATCATACTTCTTTCTGATATTATATTTCTACCTGAAGAACTGGGATACATTGAAATGCCTAGCACCATACCTAACCCGGTGGAAGTCTAGTCGCTATTTCAAACTATCGTCAGTCATTAAAATATCCGACAATAGTTCGGAAAAAAGTCATGGAAGGATCCGAAAAAAGTCATGAAAAGATCAGACAATAGTTCCGAAAAAAGTCATGAAAAGATCCGAAAAAAGTCATGAAAAGATCAGAAAAATAGTTCCGAAAAAAGTCATGAAAAGATCAGAAAAATAGTTCCGAAAAAAGTCATGAAAAGATCCGAAAAAAGGCATGAAAAGTTCCGGTCAAATGACACGATTTTAGATCTTCTGTGAACAAGGCACGAAAAGTTCAAGAATCGGCGACAGGCCACATCAGGCCTACGCTTCAGCGCCGACATCACTATGTTATGTTATGTTGACTAAGTTTGTGAGGGATAAGTAAGATCAAATCAACTGTTGTATTCGATAAGTCAGACGCAATCGAAAATAATCAGGAAACCTTATAAACGCAATCAATTGTTCGCAATCAATTACAAACGCAATCAATTGTTCGCGTATTTAATCACCGCCCCCATGCAAACCATGTTTGCTCGTTGAGATGCTACTGGCAACAATAAGTCTACCAGCTATCTCAATCAATAGTCAGTTATGGAAAGATCGGATTCAGAAGGCCGGATCCCTTGTGATTATATAGGATATAGGCAGAGCTGGGCAGCGCTACTTTTAAATGTAGCGGCCGCTACCGCTACAACCACTAGATAGTAGCGCCGCTACCGTTACTGAAAATGTAGCGGCCGCTACATGTAGCGGCCGCTACATGTAGCGCGCTACTGCCCACATCTATCATATAACTCTTTCCATTACAACTCTTGTGAATATATAGGATATAACTCTTTCCATTACAACCCTTGTGAATATATAGGATATAACTCTTTCCGTTACAAAGTACAAGAATCGGCAACAAGCAATGGGCCTATTTCTTCAGTGCCGACATTTCTATATTATTATATGACATCTGCGACCTAGGCATCAGAAAATGCGTGTTCATAAGAACGTGTTAGCCAGTTGCCTTTTTACTTTTGATTGCCCTTCAAATTTTCTTTTCTCCTGCTCAAAATACCTATCGTTTAATCACCGATAAAACTAGTTACATCTTCAAGCGCGATCATCAAATTGTAGCACAGATCGCTAAATTCTTAGGAATTAAAGGAGCCGGGGCCGTACTTTCAAAACACGCTAAGTGAACGTAAGTACTTACGCTCTATTTCCTTGTCTATGATTGGTGGATTTTGCTTGAAAGGTCGTCAATGATTGGCTGATGAACTTACGATCTCTTAACTTTTTTGAAATTATGGGCCCAGAACTACAAAGATTTGATGATACTTTGCAGTGTTGCCAGCCAGTCTTCTTTCCGGACAAGTTCCGCGTTTTAGTTTTTTTTAATTACGTTGGCCGGCTAAAATTTGTAATAGAGTTACTTTTTAATTATATTATAAAAAATAACTGGATTTTTTTACATCGGAACCTACAAATATACTAGCATAGATTGAGTTATAGGCCTTTTTGGTCTATTTTGTTTACGGACTAGGCCGCTTTTAAGGCATCTGGCAACCCTGTTACTCTGAATACCTTTAATTAACGCACAATTACTCACTCTGTTACCTAAAACTAGAGTTTGATCCTCAAAGCAAGAAGATATATGTTTTATAGAATACTTGGTAATAAAATTTGGTTAATTCATTACAATTTTCTATAGAGCGTGACACTGGGGTTATGTGTTGCATTTATCTGGAAGTTATAACATTAAACTAAGTTGATTTTGTTACATTTGGCATACCGAAAATATCACATCTTTAGGGCCTAAATCTTTCCTGAAATAATATGCTTCCGAATCTTTATCATGGTTACTTCTTAAAAATTTATTGAGTCTAACTCAAGCCAGAATTTTCATATTACTGTTGTGTCTACTAATCGGTAATCATTTGCTACCCTTCCGTTCGATATGGCGTCGGAATATGATGACTTGAGCTCACACATCAGCAGTTGTTGTTGTTGTAATTGCCCATCCTGGTAGTGGCGACTAGGGAGGCGGGGTGATAGGTCAGTTTTTCCGGGCACTCGGTACCACTGGTAGTTCCACGACCATCACTGGCTCGATGACCCGCCAGAACCATTTTATTGCATTACACAACACCCTGGACAAGCCAGGTACTCATTTATCAACCAGAGTCGTGCTATCAACATATCAACAGTCGGCTAATTGGCTAACGATCATCATGCAGCAGTACCAGCCAGACCACCAACAGGGAATCTCATATCACATCATATAATATCATATCACACCAGCGTAGTGATGTCGGCGCCGAAGAACAAGTCAGGTGGCCTAGCTGTCGCCGATTCTTGTATTTTCGTGACTTGTTCACAGAAGATCGAAAAACAGCCCCTTCGACCGGATCTTTTAAAGACTGACGATAGTTTGAAATAGCTACTAGACTTCCACCGGGTTCGATATGGTGCTAGGCCTTTCAAGTCTCAACATATATTTTTCCATAGCTTCATCTAGTCTGTTCTTTCTTGAACGCGTTCATACTTGGAGCGCCAACGATGTCATCGGGGAGGCTGTTCCACATGTCGGTGACTCGAAGCGAGAAGAAATGTTGTCGCATGGATAAGTTGCAGCGCAGTTTTTTTTGCAGCGTTACTTTGAAATGTAGCGGCCTCTACCGCTAGCGCTACATGCTCTAAATGTATCGGGTGCTACCTCTACCGCTACAATTGCTTAAATGTGCGCCGCTACCGCTACTGAAAATGTAGCGGCCGCTAGTAGCGGCCGCTACATGTAGCGCGCTACTGCCCACATCTGTATATATCAACGAGGTCCCTATACGAAGACGTCGATAACTGAGGTTTGGAAGCTTCATAATCTTTAATCTTTCTTATTAAGACTTGCCCTTCACGCCTAGAATTATCCTTGTTGTACGTCTTCGAACATTCTCGACTAAATTTTTGTCATTTTCAAGTTTCGAAGACCGCACGGCGTTTCCAAACTCTGGGTTCGGGCCCACGACAGCAACGAAAAAACTGCTTCATCGCTTCTGCATCTAGGAACTCGTAGGAGCGTCGGATCAATCCAAGAAGATTATTGGATTTATTAGCCTGCGTTTCAATGTATCAAAAATTTCAGATGCTTATCGACATAAACTCACAAATCATTTTCCACGCTAGACTTTTCAATCATTGCTCTCTCGTCGCAACAATGTCTTCTCATACTGTAATCTTGATGTTCATTGTTCATGCCGATGTACAAAGTTGCATCAATACGCGTTCAGTAGTTCGGAATATACTTATTTATCCCTGAAATACATCAAAATGACGGCCAAGGAAATGTGCAATGGGTGTTTTGTTTCAATAATTAAATTCTTAGTGATTGTCTAACAAATTTTATACAATTTTTTCAATCGTTAGGTCGTAGAAGTAACTAACGCTGTCTTTGCCTACTTTTTATAAGAAAACATTTGCTTCAGAAAACATTTGTTTAATCATTTCTGATTTAGCAAATGTTTATGAAGTTCTTCCATTTCGAGCCCTGCGAATATTTTGCATTTATTTAGAATAGAATAGAAGTGTCGGCACTGAAGAAATAGGCCCATGGCCTGTTGCCGATAAAACGTTTTTACACGTTTTTAGTTCGCGCAGGGCTGAAGTTGGGTTTACTTTTGGGGAATAGGATAAATAGAAATGCGTTATATGATGCAAGCAGATATATATAGCAAACTCATTAGAAAAGACAATAAATGTCATATACGTTCAATAAATGATATGCCTAAATCCGATCAATACCTGCATATGTAAAAAATATATAACTATGGAGTTTATTTAAGTCATTAATGAATACTTTTAATACGTAATTTGTATGTTTATTTTCATAACTTTATCAAAAATATATCAACGGATAATAAATTATTTGATGTTCTCGTCCGATTTTCAGTGCGTCACATCCGCGTTTTGGTATCCGTGCTTTTCATTGTTGATTGTATCGGAGAAAGGATCGCAAGGATTCCTCTGTGCGGCGTTGATTTTCAATTACTTTTTTTAAGAGCAGTTATGGGAGGGGGCCAAAAGCGCCCGAGCGACGAAAGTGTCGATGAAAATTCATCAAAGAAATTCAATTCCGGTGAGGAACTAGAAACACGATTTACTTTCTGTCCAACATTTGGCGTACACGGTACACTGACTGTTCTTCATTTCAAACACATGTCAGAAGTCTGATGGCATCATTGCCATGGCAGGCACTGCAGCAGCCATGCAATGAAATGATGGACATATTGAATTAACTACTCACTTTCAGACTCAGTTCTAATATTTTGATTTCTCTTTAAAATGTTCTTAAACAGTTTTGTTTGACTTTGAGTTAACAACTCTTTCAGTCTTTGTTTATACCAGTGGCAGTATGGGATAATTCAGGCCTGGAAAAGTCCTATTTTTTCTAAAATATCGCGGCTCTAATATCATATAATTTCAGTAGGTAGGAAATCTTCAGGCTCAAAATAAAATAATAAATAAATAAAACTCAAATGTCATAAATTTTTGTTTGATTGCGACGCATCTTTAAAATGGCCGGCGACGCTTTGGGCTTAAAAATCCATATATTGGCGACGCTGCATCCACCCTCTGCATAGTGGGTTGCGGTCAAGTCAAAGCGGTCAGACTGCATTAATATGTGTTCAGCAGCTTCAGCTTACAGTAAAGACAAAGGTTATTGTTGCCGTTTGACTTTTCGGGTAAAATTAGAGATTTGGGTAACCCATGCTTGGACTTTGTAAATAATTTTGCACCTCGTAAATGGCTTTTCATGGCCAATTCAGGCCGAGATATGGAATTCACAGCTTGAAAAAATGGAATTATGGCTTGAAGAAATGGAATCACTGATGACAAATCCATAAAACCATGGCTCGAAAAATTCAGTCGCAGCTATCCAAGTCCTAGATATATTCCATGCCTGAATTGGGATTCTAGTATTTCTATCCAATATCCATTTCATTTGCTATTTCCACCATTCCCAATCAGTTCCACTCAACTCTCGAGAGTCAAAGCTCAAGCATAGTGTCAAAGCTCAATTTATAAAGACAGCACATACAGAATTAAAAATAACATGTGATTATGTGATAAGTGATTTAATTTTGATGCTCAATTTCATTGAGATTATATTAAGTTATCAACCAATCAATGGGAGGCCTAGATGAATCCAACACGTTTGTGGCCCATCACTATTCAAGTGCTTGGTTCAGTTCAAGCATGAAAAACTTCTACGGTCTACCATTAGGGTCCCTACTAGAGCTTCCTTGCCATTTCTGGAACTGTGAGATTTCTGCCAGATGAATTACCTCCCATCTAATTGCTAACAAAAGTTCACGATTGGCGGATCGGGCCGCAAGATTCCAAATGTATTAAAAATTTGTCACGTGGGAGCCGCAAGATTTCAGAAACAAGTAGGAAAATTCCAATCCTGGTTCAGCTTAACAACTTTTTGGGAATACCATTGGAAGAAAGACAGAATTTTCATTCACGGATTTCAAATTAAATGGCAATAAACTAGTTGTGAAAAGTCCTACTTTTTTTCTGCAATACTGTGGCTCTGATATCATTTAATTTCTGTAGGTTTAAAATCTCGCAGCTCTAATGTCATGTATTTTTTATTGGAGAAATCGCAATTCACAAACCTGTCAGTTCATGAAATTTTCAACTTGCACAATCTGCAGTACTAAGTACCCGGCACCTGCCAAAATATCCTGCATAACAATTAACAAGTAAACCCAAAATTCATTGTTGGAAATTGCATAGTTGCAGTCATGTCAGACTGCATTATCACATGTTCAGTTGCCTCTAAAATAAAGACCAATGTTATTGCTGCTCAAGTTGCTGTTTCTAGGGTAAAATTTTTTACCCTAGGGAAAATTTTTTTTTTACCCTAGGGTAAAATTTTTTTTATAAAATTTGTCACGTGGGAGCCGCAAGATTTCAGAAACAAATAGGAAAATTCCAATCCTGGTTCAGCTTAACAACTTTTTGGGAATGCCGTTGGAAGAAAGACAGAATTTTCATTCATGGATTCCAAATTAAATGACAATAAACTAGTTGTGAAAAGTCCTACTTTTTTCTGCAATACTGTGGCTCTGATATCATGTTATTTCTGTAGGTATAAAATCATGCAGCTCTAATGTCATGTATTTTTTATTGGAGAAATTGCAATTCACAAACTTGTCAGTTCATAAAGTTTTCAACTTGCACAATCTGCAGTGCTTAGTACCTGGCACCTGCCAAAATATCCTGCATAACAATTAGCAAGTAAACCCAAAACGTATTGTTTGAGATTGCATAGTTGCAGTCATGTCAGACTGCATTATCACATGTTCAGTTGCCTCAAAAATAAAGACCAATGTTATTGCTGCTCAAGTTGCTGTTTCTAGGATAAATTTTTTTACCCTAGGGTAAAATTTACAACTAGGGTAAAATTAGAGATTAGGGGTAACACATGCATGGGCATTGGCAAATCAGTTTGTGGCTCTTAAATGGCTCTTTTTGGCCAGGATATGGAATTCACAGCTCATAGAAATGAAATCAAGGCTTGCAAATCCATAAAATATGTTGCGGTGTGGATAGTAGGTATTTTCCTCACTAGGCAATAAATAAGTTTGGTAGCCTGGGCCTCTACTTTCAAAAAAAGTTAAGAGATCGTAAGTTCATCAGCCAATCATTGACGGCCTTGCAAGCAAAATCCACCAATCATAGACAAGAAAATAGAGCGTAAGTACTTACGTTCACTTAGCGAGTTTTGAAAGTATGGCCCCTGGTAGGTAATTTAGGGATCCCAAATTATACATAGGAAAGGAAAGGTCCCTGTATTTTTTAGAAATGTTCCCTGAATTTGATTGTGAAAAATATGCATCTGTAGTCAATGGAGTGAGTCTTTTAAATGACAAAATAGTTAAACTTGTAATACTAAGAGTAGGATCATTAAAAGTGTTTAAAAAAATTTGTTGCATGATTTAAAAGTAAAAAAACATTTAAAACCTTGAGCAGAAATTATGAAAATGTTAATTAACTTTAACTGAATATATTGTTAACACTATTCAAAATGATCATTTTTGTTCATTGCAACTGTAAACAAAGAGATCACCAGACAAGGCTTCTTCAATCAGCTCTTCCCACTTAGTTATTAATAAATTCAACCAATAGGTATTTATGATTAAATTGGAAAAAAAAATGTTTTTAGTAATAAACACTTGGGGTAGGTATTGAAATGCACTGCACCATTAGCGACCAGTATCCAGTATCTGCATATCACTTAGTTATGCATTTGCTCTCACTATATTCACTATATATAGTGAATTCCGGTATAGTGAAATATGGTACCTACAGTACTACCTATATCTACTATCTATAGTGAATATAGTGAAAGTGCCTATTCATATATATACATATAGTGCCTATGTAGTGCCTATTCATTTCACTATATTCACATATCACTATTTTCATGTACATCATTTGCTCCCTCAAACAGTTTCTGCAGTGTGCATCTCATTGAACTGTTATTGGTGGCATGATTTATTATTAATTCATTAATTTGTTATGTTTACCTTATAGACAACTCATGGATTTCATATTGAATTGATTTGTATCGCAGGTTCAGGTTTTATCATTTTAATTTGAGATTTTTTATTGACAATCTTTTATTTTATATTAGAGTTCTTATTATTTTAATTTCAGATATTTATTGACAATCTTTCTATTTTATATATCAGTTTGATTATTTTATATTGAATTGATTTGTTTCACAGGTTCGGGTATGGCCACCATAGAAAAGACCATCAAGACGTGCCTTCTGACCCTCAAGGATTGTTATTAATTCATGAAGCTTAATTTGTTATGTTTAACTTATAGCCAACTTATATAATATTTTATATAGAATAGATTTCATATTGAATTAATTTGTTTCACAGGTTCAGGTATGGCCACCATAGAGAAGACCATCAAGACGTGCCTCCCGACCCTGGAGGACGAGACGGTCGAGAAACTGATGACCCGTCTCAGGGAGGTCGGGGCCACCAGCGTGCGGGACCTGGAGTTCACGGCCGTCGAGGACATTGCGGACATTGTCAAGCCCATACAAGCCAGGAAACTTATGAAGTTCTGGGCTGATTATAGTGAGTTGGGAAAAATTTACAAGGTTCTGGGCTGATTATAGTGAGTTGAGAAACTTATGAAGTTCTGGGCTTATTATAGTGAGTTGGGAAAAATTTACAAGGTTCTGGGCTGATTATAGTGAGTTGAGAAACTTATGAAGTTCTGGGCTTATTATAGTGAGTTGAGAANAGTGAGTTGAGAATATTTATATGGAGTTCTGGGCTGATTATAGTGAGTTGGGAAATATTTATATGGAGTTCTGGGCTGATTATAGTGAGTTGAGAATATTTATATGGAGTTCTGGGCTGATTATAGTGAGTTGGGAAATATTTATATGGAGTTCTGGGCTGATTATAGTGAGTTGTGAAAAATTTTTGCATCTAATTTTATCTTGTGAATTCTATATATACTTAATTTGCATGTACTCCTTGCATAATGAAATTAAATGTCTTAGATTCAAAATTAATTTTTCCATCCATTGTGTGAGAAAATTTATAGATATCTGGAAAAATTTTGTGTAGGTGTACCTGTAATTTATTTTATTACAAATTTGCAATGTTTTTTTTTTAAAAAGAAGATTAATCACAATAAATTCTAATATTTTTTAAATAGAAGAGAAAAAATTAAAATAAATTGTAATGTTTTTCAAAAAGGAGAAAATTATTCCCAATAAATTGTAATGTTTTCCCCAGAAGAAGAGGAGGAGGAGGAGGATGACACCAGTGAAGAAATATCCGAGATCCCCGTGGAGAACCCAACGCACCAGATCCTGGACATGGATCTAGATGAAACTCCGGCAACCGGAGACCACAACTCCGCTCCGATGCTCTCCGGCAACGCATCCTACTCCAACGCATCCACCAACTCCTTCATGCCCAACCAACTTATCCCTTCCATGTCATCCTCCACATCCACCTCACAACAACCAATGTTTGCGCAGAAAGATATTTATCTTTGTTCTAAAAACACGCATGGAAACTACGACCAGAACAACGCTGGTGGCAACTATGACCAAAACCGACCAGGATACTCTGACCAGAACAGACCAGGGAACCCATCCGAAGATAACAGGAACAACAGTAAAAACAAATGTGATGCCCCGTTCCCGGAGCTGGATATATCGGTGGTCAACCACATCATCCAGAACGGCAACCCGCCTGCCGTGGGGGACACGTTCACCCATGACTGCAGAGGCCAGGTAAATAAAGTATATATTGTATATTTTTATTTCATATCATATGTTTTAACTATATATATAATAACCTGATAGTATTTATCAGTTGATGGGTATGTTTGTTTGCGTTCATTATAACTATACAATACAAAATATTAGTGTAAAAAAATTGATATAGGTAGATATATTGTAAAATTGATTGAGATGTATTGGTTATTTTATGGACAAATAAATAGTATAAAATATTATACCTATATTTGTACATAAAAGAAGTAATTTTTGGTGTTCTGATTTTTGTTCATTTTAATATTTTCGTGACAAGGCATTATTTCTAACAAATTCTGTATAATATATTATATTCTTATGTATAGTGTATCCTTGTATGGTTGCATTGTATTCAGTTTGTATGGTAGCATATACATACCAGATATATGGCTGATTTATTAATGAAGATGAGGAAATTTTTTTATACACTCTTAAGATTATGTCCATGTAATGAATGGAGATTACTTATTTGTTACATATTATTATTATTACATTTGTTACATTGATTTGTATGTTGCACATATTAATGCTGCATAGATTAGTATGTTGTACCTATATTAATATTACTTCTGTTACATACGGTATATTTTTTTTACATATGTTTCCTATATTAGTATGTCTATGATACGTATATTAGTACCATTATATATAATAATTTTACGTAGGTACATTAATATGTCCACGAAACATATTGGTAAACTCCTACTCATGTGTATGTATAAATGTTGGCATTTTAAAGCCATTCAAAGCTAAAGTTTATCATAGAAATGTTTACCTCTGAGCCTAATCAAATTAAAAGTTAGAATATCCTCAAATATTCTATGTTTCTCAGCCGGTGCGCAGGTTCGTGGGAGTGCGCATGTCATGCAGGGACCCGCAGGGCCGCAGAAGTGACCTACCCGCAGCAGGAGCCGTGGTTGTCATACCGCGGTCCTGGGTCAAGAGCGTGCGGGATGGGGACGTGAGCCTCGTGTGGCCCGTGCCTGACGTGCAACACAACCACGTCTCCGGGGGCTCCTGGCACCGACGCTCCGCTTCTCTGTTATATACTGCTGGTATTTGTTACTTATATGTTTATTATTATCACATTTATGTTCACAGATATTTAAATACCATATGTATGTGTTTTTTATATATTTATTTTTCGTCAACGGTCCGCATCCCTGCTATATAGTGCAGGTGAGTATTTTTTATATGTTTATCGCTATTGCATTGATTTTCATATATTTGTATATGTATATAGAAATATATTTACCATATATTATATTTCATCAATGGTCTGCATCTCTCTTGTATACTGCGGGTGAGGATTTTTTATATGTTTATTATTATCACATTGATTTTAATATATATTTATGTATTGAAATATAGTTATGTATGGATAAGTATTTTTCATATATATTTAAATATAGGTATTTATAGATAAGTAAGTATCTTAAGTAAGTATTTATTAATATCACATTGATTTTCATATATATTAATATTTGTATGTTTATACATATATTAATTATATAGGTATTTACCTATATTTCATCGACGGCTAGCCTCTTTGCTATATGCTTTGGGTGAGAATACTTGGTAATAAAAATAAATATCCTATAGTTTTAAGATATTTATTCAATAAATATAGTTATTTAGGAGAGGTTAGTACCTTTAAATCATTTCTCAATCTTATGTCATGTCGTTATCTCTTCATTTTCTCATGATCATGTTTCTCAAAAATCTTGTATTTATTTCAGACTCGTTTGAGGAAGTTGCGAGGAACACATTTGTACACAAGCCTTCTTCTGACATGTGAGTTGTAGTATTTATATATTATATTTATTCATATTATTATATTATATTAAATGTAAATCCTTTACTTTTCATTCCAGTATTCTTTTGATGTTACAAATTTTGCATGCAATACAATGAAAATTAGTGGCAATATTTAATTAAATACCTATATTAATATATTTGAGATATGTATATTAAATGAGTTAAATTTGTGGTATTATTAATTTAATTAATAATTTGTGATATTAAATAAATCATTCATTATTATTAAATATGATTTTGGCACAATCTTATCTACTGTATCTGCCAATTGCAAATCAAGACATTCAGCAATACTAATATGCTTTTAATTTAATCATATATAAAACATGGAGAATTATTAAATCTTATTATTATATTATAATATTATATTAAATGATTATAGAGTGTCGCCATTTTGATCTCTATGAATGCTGTAAAATATTTACTTTTTATGCTCTAGAATTAACGTTCGTTGAAATAATATTGAAATACACAAAGAAAATATATATCCATGCCTACATCAGTAATTTTTTCAAAAACCGCATTTCGAAAAAAAATGTTATGGATGTATATATGTTATGCGTGGATGTAAGCCATGAGGATTATGTTTTTCTTAACGTATATATATTTTTCTTCTCGTTTTTATATATTTCTTGTCGTAAATATATCTTTCTTATCGTATATATATTTTTCGTAACGCAAATATTATTGTAAGTTAACCTTGCTGTTATTATTATGTTACAACGGAATATTTTATTTAGTAAAGTTTATTTTCATTATTATTTTATGTATATTTTTCCTTCCATGAGTGCATTTATTGTAAAATTTATTTAAATTTTAACCAAAGGCTGCTAAGCGAGAGGCACATTTATGCTCCCAAAGACTTATTTTATTCTTTCTAATATTATATTACTACCTGAAGGACTGGGATACGTTGAAATGCCTTGCACCATACACTGTTAGAAAAATTACGGTTAACGGTATTACCGGCGTTAACGGTATTACCGTCGTTAAAGGTATTACGGTAAATTGCCGTTAACTGTATTACCGGCGTTTCAGTGGCCCGTCGGCACGTGAAAAGAAACACCGTGTCGCCGTTTTTATTCTAATTTAACAACAGAAATCCGTGAAACATCTGATAAAAACGGCGAAACTGTTTATTTTCACGGGGCGACCGGCCACTAGAAGGCCAGTGGGTCCGTTTTTTCACCGTTTTTTATAGCACCATATCGAACCCGGTGGAAGTATAGTAGCTACTTCAAACTATCGTCAGTCCTGAAAAGATCCGACAATAGTTCCGAAAAAAGTCATGAAAAGATCCGACAATAGTTCCGAAGAAAGTCATGAAAAGATCCGACAATAGTTCCGAAGAAAGTCATGAAAAGATCCGACAATAGTTCCGAAGAAAGTCATGAAAAGATCCGACAATAGTTCCGAAAAAGTCATGAAAAGATCCGACAATAGTTCCGAAAAAAGTCATGAAAAGATCCGACAATAGTTCCGAAGAAAGTCATGTAAAGATCCGACATTAGTTCCGAAAAAGTCGTGAAAAGATCCGAAAATGACACGATTTTAGATCTTCTGTGAACAAGTCACGAAAAGTTCATGAATCGGCGACAGGCCACATCAGGCCTATACACTTCTGCTCCGACATCACTATGTTATGTTATGTTGACTAAGTTTTTGAGGGATAAGTAAAATCAAATCAATTGTTGTATTCGATAAGTAAGACGCAATCAAAAATAATCAGGAAACATTACAAACGCAATCAATTGTCCGCGCCGACGTATTTAATCACCACCCCCATGCAAGCCGTGTTTGCTCGTTGAGATGCTACTGCAACAATAAGTCTACCAGCTGTCTCAATCAGATTGAAGATTATTGAAAGATTGAAGATTATGAAGCTTCCAAGCCTCCGTTATCGACGTCTGCGTGGTGACCTCATTGAAGTATACAAGTATACTCATGGTTTAAACAAGGTCCCAGAAAAGTTACTAGAATTTGAAACAAGAACCAACACCAGGGGCCACAGCTATAAACTAAAAAAACTCCGTTGTATCACATCCATGCGACAACATTTCTTCTCGCTTCGTGTCACCGACATGTGGAACAGCCTACCTGATAGCATCGTTGACGCTCCGAGTATGAACATCTTCAAAAACAGACTAGACGAAGCTATGCAGGAGCATATGTTCAGTCTTAAAATGCCTAGCAAATTACGGACCAGGCAATAAGACTAGACGAAGCTATGCAGCAGCATATGTTCAGTCTTTAAATGCCTAGCAAATTACGGACCAGGCAATAAGGCTACCAGCTATCTCAATCAATCGTCAGTTATGGAAAAATCGGATTCAGAAGGCCGGATCCCTTGTGAATATATAGGATATAGGCAAAGCTGGGCAGCGCTACTTTGAAATGTAGCGGCCGCTACCGCTACAACCACTAGATAGTAGTCCAGGCAATAAGTCCAGCAGCTATCTCAATCAATCGTCAGCTATGGAAAGATCGGGTTCCAAAGGCCGGATCCCTTGTGAATAAAGTCACGAAAAATTCAAGAATCGGCAACAGGCCATGCATGGGCCTATTTCTTCAATGCCAACACTTCTATTCTATTCTATTACTGGAAGCTTTAACATTTAACGAAGTTAATTTGTTTCATACGGCATACCGAAAATATCACATCTTTAGGGCCTAAATATTTCCTGAAATAATATGCTTCCGAATCTTTATCATAGTAACTTCTTAAAATATCTAACGAGTTTAACTCAAACCAGAATTTTCATATTACTGTTGAGTCTGCCAATCGGTGATCATTTGCTACCCTTCCGTTCGATATGGCGTCGGAGATGATGACTTGAGCTCACTCATCAGCAGTTGTTGTTGTTGTAATTGTCCATCCTGGTAGTGGCGACTAGGGAGGGGG